GGAGAAGGAAGAAAGGGAAAATGGCGTCCGGGTAGGGGTGTGTGTGTGTGAGAGAGAGAGAGAGAGAGAGAGAGAGAGAGAGAGAGAGAGAGAGAGAGAGAGAGAGAGAGAGAGAGAGTGATGTAGACCCCAAATATCTCATTGACATTTCCATGTGTGCGGGCGTAGCTGCACTGGCTTTACTTGTGACTGTTATTATCATCATGGTTATCCTCCTCCTCCTCCTCCTCCTCCTCCTCCTCCTCATCATCATCATCATCATCATCGTCATTATCCTCATGGCGGCAATCATTGGTATGATTACGACTACCACCACTAGTAGTGGTAATCATAATCATAATGGTCATGATCGCCACTTATAGTCTTCGCTCTGAATGCCTACAAGCTATCATTAGACACTTTGATCTCTTCCCCAACCCAATTAACTAAACTACATTGCGGCTAGGCTGCCGCTGTAAATAAAGGTACTACGGATCCTCTGCCATCCAGTATTCATTGATTTTGGTTGAGTTCAACGGTATTACCTAATGGCTGTGTTGCTGCGAGATGCTGTTTCGCTTCCTGTCCCCAATTGATCATAATCATAATCATAATCATAATCATAATATGATAATAATATATAATCGTAATCATAATATATAATCGTAATGATAATATGATTGCCACTAAGTGTTACGCCTCCTTTGCCTCTCTTCCACAGAGCTATGCGATGCAGGGATCTCTCTTCCCATCATAATCCTAGTTATAATATAATCTTAATATAATCACAATATATAATCATAATTATAATCAGAATGATAATGATTGCCACTAAGTGTTATGTGCCTCCTTTGCCTCTCTTCCACAGAGCTATATGCGGTGCATGGATCTGTTCCCGTCACTTCTTCTTTTTTTTTTTTTTTTTTTTTTTTTTACACCGTCACTTGTCTTGGCTGCCTTTTTAAGGTAAGTAAACCACAAAATCACTACCGTCTGCTTCGGAACACAATGCACCCTCAACATGAGTGCACGAGGCCAGGCCGGACGGATACATTCATGGTTAGGTGTCCGTTGTGTCTCGGGGAAGACGAGTAGCGGTGTCCCACCTGGCGGCTCTCACAGCGATTACTATGATTGGCTTCTCTTTTGATGAATTATTATATTCCTGTAATTGTCACACAGTTCTTATTGCTAGTAAAGGGGCCTTGACACCTATCAAATGGGGCTTGACACCCATTAAAGGGACCTAGAAACCTATTAATTTGCTTGGACACCTATCAAAGGGGCCGTGACACTTCTTATTAAAGGGGCCTTGTCACGTGTTAAAGGGGCCTTGACACCTAGGAAATTGACCTTGATACATGTTAAGGGGTCTAGCCACCCATTAAAGCGGCTTTGACATCTATCACAGGGGCTTGGACACTGATTATTAAACCACCAGTACTTGGCCCAGCTATCGGCCGCGGGCCTTCTTGGTTAACGCGCCGGGGCCTGCGGAGGTCGGCCAAGGGAAGGCCCGGTCGTTGCTTCTTGGCCGAGGGCCGCCAACTACGGGATGTCACCTACGAATTTAATTAAAAAAAAAAAAAAACACTAAGAAAAAAAAACGAAAACAAAGAAAAGAAACGGGTGTCATAGGCACGCCGGAGAGAGAGAGAGAGAGAGAGAGAGAGAGAGAGACATCAACAAGTGGACTACTCGCTGTGCGGGGTGCTCCAAGCAGCCCGCCGGCCGTCGTGCCACCGATTTTGTGAAGACAAAAAACATGACGGTGTATCTTTCCATGTTCTAGCGGAAGATTCACTCTCGTTTTGCACATTTTGAGAGTGGCAGAGAGACCGTTTTCTTCCTTTGTTTTTCTTTTTTTTGCCTAAAATAAAGTATCCCGTATTTCTCTTGTTGCGTTCTTGCGTTCTTTTTTTTTTTTTTT